AATCAACTCAATAAAAAACTATTTACTCGGTTTTAATTATTTTTTTTTTTCTAAATTTTCAGTATATTTTCTCTAAGAACACAAACTTGGTTAGGATTAAAGAAGAGTTTAATTTATTTGTATGTGATGAATAACTCCAAAAAAAAGCACTTTAAAATGTGTTTTATGAAGCTGAAATGCCATCATGTAGACATAAATAAGAAATGAATGATTGTGGTTGAATAAGTAAGATGAGTGTAGATGTCCCACAAGGATATTGAAGGAATAAAATCCATGGCCATTTCAATTACCAAGTCTTATATTTGGTGCTTTCTCTCATTTCAATACAATTTGTAAAGCTCTATTATGAACAGAAGTCAAAAAAGTGAGAGGGAAAACATCTCTACATCTTGCTCCAATCAAAGTTCGGTGATAAAGAAAGTAAATTACGGTGGAAAAATAAAATAAAATAAAATAAAGGAGTGTTGTGGGGTAGTGTGAGAAAAACATTTGAAAGAAAAAAGGGTCATGACATTGATGGCATGTCTAATTTGACTAAGTTGGAAGAAAACTGTTGTGGTTTTACACTTGTCTCTCTAATGCCATAACTTATTCACACGATGAATACCTTCATTGATCTCTTGGTACATCACTAAAATATATTATGTAATTGACAAGAGTGGTAAATAAACATTATGAAAGAAAATTTATGATATGTCAAAGTCCAGGTTTGATTGATCCTTTAATATTGTTTTTTATTCTTTGAAAATACACTCGATTAACAATATATCATTTTGAAGGTCGAAATATTTTGATGAAATAAATTAAAATGATCCCAAGAAGAATAAACCTTTTTTTGTTTAAATTAATGAGAAAGGATGATAAATAGTTTATTTGGAAGATAGCATAGATACTCAGTTGCTTTTAAAAAAAATATATTCATTTAAGAGAGAAGTTATTCTTTAATATAGAGGTTACTGTTTAAAATAGAAATTATTCTTCGACATACACTAAAGGTTGAAATTGAAAATTAATAAGATATTTATTTATCTTTTGCAAATTGCAACATGTGAACTTTCAACAAAATAATAAGTGCAGAGTCAAATGATAAAATATCGTATTCATATATAAGATTTGAATAATTTTCTTACGTATATAATGCAAAAAAACACTTTGAGAACCACTCCAACCGCTAAGTCTTCAATTTCAAGAATACTTGTCTTCTCTTAGCTAAATAGTGGGTTAGGTATGCAAAAAATACTTTGACATTCAAGTCAGTCAAATATATCAAACAATAATTAATGTTGTAATAATGAACGTAATTAAAGTACCTCATAAAATATACTATTTATATTTAATATTCATCTGTCATTACCTAGATGGATCTAAGCCACATGACCAATTACCTACTAATCTTGACTTATCATAATTAATTGTGGATCTTCTAGTTTAACTTGTAGATTAATGTGACTAATAATGCAATTGGTATGTTCAGGAGATAATCATCTATCAACCCTCCTTCTTGAAAAGAATTTTTCCTCAAATTCGTACCACTTAAAGATTCCTTATCAACTAGTATCACCATTAATAAGCCAAGGGCCACATATCGATCTCATTAATATCAATATATAAGTTGAAGACCAACATCCTCACAAATATGATAAGTATTGATATCTAGCGACACAACTTTCCATAAGTCTTAAACATGTATCATGTTAAGCTTGGTAGCTAGTGTACTGTATACATCCAACTAGCCATGAGAATATAAAACTTGGACCTAGTCAAATACATGTCGGCCTACTAGATCAACATGTACCCATCACACACCTACTCCACTAGGTTAGAGATCAAAACATGTCTTTTTAAATCTTATAATGTTCCATGAAGGAGAAAACTTAAAGAACATGAAGATCATGAGCACAATTGAAGAATAACTTGGAAATTTAAATAAATTGTAATTTTATTTTAATTTTACATAATATTAAATACGCTGGGCGAGTCTGTATTCGCTGAGCAAGCTAGTCTCGCTAAGCGAAAGTCTACGTCTGTAATTTTTCTTTTCTTTTATTTTTATGTGTATTTTAAGATCCAGGGAAAATAAGGGTTTTAGAAATAAAGTTTTGTTAAGACTTAAGTATGTTTTCTTTTAAGAGTTGATGTGTCTAATAAGGTGTTGTATGTGTATATCTTTTTTAAAACATAATTATGTTATTTCTTTGATTTTATTTTAATAAAGTACAACACATGTCTTGGTATGGTTGTTTGGATTTTGATTTGTGTGTGTGTGTGTGTTAATACCAATGATGTGTGTTAGTTTGTTGGTGGAGATGTTTGTTAGGAATGGATGGATATGGGTTCAAATTATAGGGAGAAAAATTTAAGAGAAACTTAGATTTTTAATTATACGTTTGGCTCAAGGGAAAAAGAGTATTTTTACTTTTATTAATTGATGCATAAATTATATAAGGGGGCGTAGAAAGTAAAAGCATGCAAATTAAATAAAATAAAATAAAAAGATAGAGGGCTGAACGTGGAATAAAGACAAAATAGAGATTTAGATAGATTTGGATTTAAAAATATATTATTATAAGTAAGGGAATATTAGAGATAAAGTGAGTGATTTATAAAAGCTAAGATATAGGGAGAGGGGTGACATTTGTTAGAAAACCTAGAAACTCCACATTAAAGAGAAAAAAAAAAACACACACACACACACACACACACACACACACACACACATATATATATATATATATATATATATATAGAGAGAGAGAGAGATATATATATATATTTGTGGTGTTTTAGAGTATAGATTAAGCCCTAATATTGGTCAAGGTATGGGAAAACTTACCTTTATTTGTTTTTTTGTTTTTTTCATGGCCACTTTAGGACTCAGGTTTCTAATTTGGAGGGCTACCTCCCCGAATCGGTCCATTAAATTCCAAAGGGATTCCCCTTTTTCTTGTCTGATATTCACTATTGTAATAGACGTCATCATATGTTGGCAACTAGTAGCAAACTGAGCTCCAAACTTTGCTATAATTGTGGCAAAATAATCAATGTAATTAGCCAGCAAACGGGTGAACAATCCTAATCCTTCTCCTTTTAAAGTTGTCAGAACACCTTACACCAAATATCATCGTTGGACGTATAAAATGCCATGTGTATCACGAACATAGTAATATGCTCGTCTGGTCTATCGACCTATCATACAATGAAAGAGTGCATTCTGGTCATATTCATGGTGGTGATGGCGGATGGATCATAATCTCTACTGGCCTCGTCACTCCCACCTTGGACCATTCATTCTTGTTTTGCATGGGGTTGCTTGGCTAGCCCAGGTTGAGTTAGAGTTAATGGTGTGGGGTCTTTGTTATTCATGTGTTGTCTTATTAATGCATTTTCTTCGCACAGAGCTTCTAGCTCCCTACATTCCTCTTCATGACTTTTCTTCATCTCTTACATATCCCTACTAATTCGGTTAATCATCTCTATTGGGTTTACATGCTACTCTTCGGACGCTTATGCCAAAACTACATTGTTCACCATGTTCCTGGTGGTCACCATATGGGTGTTATTGTGTTCACTCGATAATTAAATGTCATGTTTGTCTCTCTATATAATCAGACAACTTATCTACCGACCGACCATGAGATTTAAAGCCAACAGATATAGATGTTCTTGATCGGTGCGATTCTCTTCCTATTTCATGTGATACGTACAAATATTGATTTCAATATATGATCAATTGCAATGAAAAACATAACATTCTTAAATTTCATTATTAGGATTCACACTAATTTCATAAAAAAAAAATCGTAAATTACATAATTAGGATTCATACTAATTTCATAAAAGAATCCCCAAATCATAATTAGGATTCATACTAATTTCATAAAAGAATCCCTAAATCATAATTAGGATTTATCTTAATTTTAAAAAAAACATAATTTTGAAAGAAACGAAGAATAAAAAATATAACAACACATGCTCTAATATCACATTAATTATTGTAGTTTTTTTATTTTCCTAATTCAATTATAGAAAATGACTATATCTTAATATTTAGATTCTCACATTCACATAAATCATAATAGGGAGACACTAATTTGATACATGAAAGATTCAACAATAATAAGTTCTTTGATTTTTTTGTTCTACAATAATAAGTTCTTTAATTTTTTTTGTTCTACAACCCTCTTTTTCAATCTATCTCTTCCCTTTGTTTTTCATCCCACTCTTTCTTGATGGTTAACAGTGAAAAAATCTTATGATCATAGGCAGAACCTACCTTAATTCCTTTTTTATTAACCAATGTATTAATTTGCTATATTCAATACGAGTCATATAATTGATTGTTAATTAATTCTAACATCTTTCCTTGAATACAACAAAGTTAGTGTTAGAAATCACTTTTGAGTTATAAGGTTTACTTAATAATAAAGTTAAAAGGAAGAATGAAAAAAAAAAGTAGTGAGTGCAACTCCCTACGCTATCAAAATACTAAAAAGTAATATATTTACCAATAAAAAAAATCACTTTCTAACTCAACTAGAACTCCAACAGTTTGGAAATCCTATTCTTTACATTTAGAATGAAAGGGCACATGGAACACTTCAAGTAAAGGTTCAGTCAGTTCTCACAATGAACTCTTGTTTATGTATTTCTTTATGATCAATCACTATGCAGTATTAATATATTTTATTCCACCCGAGGAAGATGCTGGTTTCAGGGGCAGTGGTGCTACGGTGAATGTGGTGAATGAAGAGATGCTGATTTTGAAGAGTTCTTATCCTATATTGGATATAGGATATAAATGAAAAAAAGTATAACACTATAAAGTTGAAAAGACTCGTTAACTCAATACTTTAAGGTTTTGGATAGAGAATGCTATCAATTTCTTATATGATTGGACTTATATTTTATTGGTGTTTGAATTTCTTTCATGAACATCTTTCTCAATAAACCCAACACATGAATCCTCTCCCCCTTTCTTTAACATATAAAAAGAAAGAATATGACAGACTTAGAAACGCGTTGTGGTTCTAAATAAAAATTTGTAACAGTCAGAGATGAATAAGCTCCTAAAAGCTATGTACATATATTTTTCTGCATCAACACAGGATTTAAAGTAATTCTACATTTGTGCAGTATCTCATGACATTTAGTTAACCAAATTCTGGACATTACTGTGTTGACATCAGCAGTATCTCAGCTGAAGTTGAAGCCAAAAAGCAGGTTGATGCATCAGTCCAAGTTCAAGCATGCATTACCAATTCACAATGTCATCCCCCATAAACTTCTTTTCCTCAAATGAAAATGAACTTTGAGTTTTTTCTCAGTCTTTCTTGCTGTCCTTGTTTTGTTCATTGATGAATAAAGAAAACAAGACCACAATAATACCTCCAAGAACTGAAACTCTTTTCCAATCAGCACCTGAGGATGAGGCAACAGAATCAACTATTCCAAAAGTCAGCAAGCCAATGAAGAAAAGATAAACATTTTTCATAGTTTGGATGCCACTGTTTTCTATGTTCACATCTTTGATCTTTTCCACCTCCTCCTTGGGTTTTGCTTTATCAACAAGATCCTTCTGTCCAAGGTTCTTAAAGAATAGCCCTTCGTTTCGGTCCTTCTGCATTTGGTCCTCGAACTCCACTATTTTCTTTTCACTCTCCTCAATCTCTAGTCTGTTCAGTTCAGTAGATTCCTCGAATGCTAGCATCTCACTCTCTATGTTTGCTGTTATCTGTTAATCACAAATGAATGTTTGCATGGATTTCATTCTAAATCAAACTACCTTATTATAATTTTAATTTCTCTTATTTCAATTATGTGGGGTTTGATCTCCTATCAAATATATTTCACTAAATCTTTCAAATCCTCAATTTTATATAGAATTTTTACAAAATGAACTTCTGACCAAAATATTGGCCAAAGTAAAAAGGAAATCTAAAAATTACCCTCTTAAATCAGTTTGATAAAATATGTTTTTCTCCCTCAAAACATTTCGACAAATTCACATTGGTTTCTATAAATTGTTAGCTAAAGCCAACATTTCAAATTACTTTACATTAGTTTTTTAGCATCTTATAAATCCTTAAAATATTCGATTTACAATAAATTCTTTTCTTGTACATTTTAAAGTTTTTTTATAAATTGTTTTTTAATTGAGTACATAGAAAATTTTGACTTAAGTATTTTCTTTCTTTTTTCGCTCCCTTTCTTTCACACTTGGACTACCTTTCGTTCTGTGGTCTACGATCGTTCGTTCGTCATCTGCCACATCCACTCATAAATTTTTTTACGCCGTTTGATCACTATTTAACGGAAAGGATCGATTTGTTGCAATTTTCATAAAATTGAGACCCAATTGATATTTTCAGAAAGAAAGGGACGAAATTGAGATTCTATGTGAAAATAGGGACTTAGTGAATGATTAAACCTATTTTTTACAAGTTGTAACGCTTCATAAAAAAAATCTAAATAAAATTTTTTGTCTTTTAGTGTATAATTGATTAATTTTCTTAAAGAATCTATATTTAGTATTATGATTTAATTTTTTGAAAATAATATTTATTTATATTTTTCCTTTAGCATTATGTTTTAAATTATTTTGTCTTTGAATCAATTTAACGTGTTAATTTTGTTCAGTTTTAACAAAAAAAATATAAAAAATATTAGAGATAACATTAAATATTCAAGTCAACTTTCAATATCCTCGATTGAATAAAAAAGTAATTTGGTAGACAAAAAGTACATAAAACATTATCAAAAATACTACCAACTGAATACAAAACAAACTTAGTTGGAAATAAATTTAGGTTACTTTCTTTATAATTTTATCCTACATTCCTAATTTGGGGAGGAGTTTGGATTTTTAAATTGAAAAAGAAAAAGATAAAAAATCTTATTCAAAGTTAGAAGTTTTTCAAGTCAGAAAAAAAATATCCAAATCCTTGATCCTTGGTTTTAATTTTTTATTTATAAGCATTTTATATATAAAATTGTTTATTCTTTAAAATATAAAAATAATAAAATATAAATATCTTTGTCCTTTGCTCAAAAAATCTCCTCTAAATCACAAAACACTTAATAAAATAAAAACATCTTCGATATTGATATCCTGACACGTTTTTCTCATACGATTATTATTCGTTGTTATTTCTTCCTTGCTAATCTTACATAACTCCCTCCCCCAACCATATAGTTATAGCCATATGAGATTGACCCAAGTTGATGTTATTAATGGTTTCGGCCCAATATTGGTTTGTTCCTTTTAATCCAACATTTAAACCTTACACATCCCAAGGTTTCATCTACGTTTTCAAATTCCAGATTTATCCTTTGATTATTATTATTACTCGTTTATGTCTTTATTATCATATATTAAAATTAGTATCTTTATTGTATTTATTATTTTGAGTTGTGTTATGTAACATCTCAAAAATACAATCTAAAACTATATTATAGAATGATTATATTGAATAATGATACAGATCAGTCTTACACTAAAGAAGAGCGTATGGTTATGGTCGAAAAGCCTTACAGAAAGAGTTACAAATTTAAACTGTACAGCACAATTCTGACCGAACGGTTTTCAAAAAAAATATACCGAACGGTCCTGCAAAAGAAAAGGGAAAAGGTGACCGAACGATTACTTTACTAAAAGATTATACTACTGACCGAATGGTTCTACTATTCGGTCTTAACTTCCACCTCGACTATATTTTCTTCTTCCAGCGCCTCTTCCAACAGCTCGTCTCCTTCTGCTCACATCCCACGGATGATCATTGCAAAGACAAAGACGAACGTACAAAACAGACAAGACAGGAAACACATATGGTAAGCTTATGTAATTTAATTCATGTATAAACATACATTTCACACAATCAACCAAACAAGATAAATTTCATCAAACATTTCAAGCAAAGCTTAATACTAGACTGACTGTCCGGACTGTATGAAATCTGTGTAGCTATAACGTTCGTGCACCCGGGTGATGTAGTAATTGGGATATCCTCAACAGTTGTTACCCGAGGTTAGTCCTATCTGTCCAAATTAACATAAGGACTATGACCTCCTACCGTTCCCACACATGACCTACCCTCCTCTACGTGAGGACGAGTACTCACGGAACATTAGGATGAATCGCCAGCTTAGCATGCCCACATTCATACTTTACCAATTCCAATATTCATTCATGAGTCATTTCTCCCCGGAACGCTCGTACATAATCCAAAACATTTCAATCCATATCACATTCTCTTCGTCATTCATTAATAATCATCTCACTTAAACACTTCGCACAAAGATCCATAAGGATACCAAATATCGAACGTTCAACCCTAACTCAGAACGAGACCGAACACTTGGAGCGAGAACCGAGAGATCTCCAGTTCCAGAATATTAAGACCAAGAGGTTACTATCGGGTTGAGAAAGAAGCCGAGTACAATCATATGTAACAGGAACGACTAGAACGAACGTACTTGCAAAGTGAGCCAATTAAGATGAAACTGCCCTCTGGAGAGCTCCAACCGAACAACCGAAAAGACCATACCAAGTACTAAGACTCTAGGCCAGAACCAATGGATGTAGACACTTCAAGACATTCAAAGAATAATACTTAGAAGAATTCACATGAAGAAAACGAACACTTATGAAAACTTAGCTTATTTGAGTTTAGCATTAAGAAAACCGAATGTCAGTCAATGACCGAGCACGGTAGAGAGAACTCTATTGAATTTGGACGAACACTATTTTCATCAGATAAATTGTAGGAAAGAGAATGAGCGCTTGGTGTAAGACCGAGCACTACTCAGTAAGAGCGCTTGGTGTAAGACCGAGCATTACTCAATACGAGCGCTTGGTGTAAGACCGAGCATTACTCAGTAAGAACGCTTGGTGTAAGACCGAACATTACTCAGTAGGAGCGCTTGGTGTAAGATCGAGTACTACTAAACTTATATTAGAAAGCTTGATAAATAGAATAAGATACTATTGGAGTAGTGTTTAAGAATAAACGAAAATATACAAACACACACACACACACACAGATATATATATATATATATATATATATATATATATATATATATATATATATATACTTAAGTTTATAACCGAACGCCGAGAACCAACTATGCTTGGCCGAACGCTCATGCACAGTTTCTCAAAACGAAGATGCTCGTCCTCAACTAGGATTCTTCCCAAATGAAAGAATCCAATTCTAATCAAGTTTACTAGAAAAACCGAACGGTCAATGATTGTTCAGTGACGAACGTACACTTTCATAGGGGAAATTTCATACCAAAATCATTTATATTCAAACTCATTTCTCAACATATATTTTCATAATTTCATACATTCATATCATAGTCAATTTTCATACTTCATACAATCCAAACATATCAACCATCATATATCATATTAATTCAGTCACTTCAAAACGAAAGGTTCATGGCCTACACATAACATACAAATTAAATTAATAAGTTTCCGTTACTTCTGAGCGTGAACGAGCCTTCCTAGAGATATAATACGGTTTGGCCTTACTAAAAAGAAAATTTCTTCTAACCAAAACCTCAACGCTCACCCATTCTTCAAACTAAACCCCACAACACCAAACTGTTTCAGAACGAGAACTATGACTAGCCAACAGAACTGGTTTGCATGTGTCAGAGAACGAACGACTAAAGAAGAAGAAGAATTTACCAGTTCATAACTCGAAACTGATCGGTTCAAACTGAATCTCTGGACACCGGAAGTGCTTCTACGGTGCCTGAATGATTATCAGAGAAGAGAAAAGGTGAGATTTCGTAGAGAGAAGGGAGAGCTTTTAGTGAGAAGGAGGAGAAATGAGATTTTCAGAGTCTGGGAAAGAAGGGTGCATGCAGAGAGTGTGACGTGAATTTCTGAAAAATCAGTTTTGTTTCCCACGTCAACGAACGTCCGCTCATCTGTTGACACCTGCCTTCCACTATCGGATTTTCGGATCCCCTTCACTTGACACCTGGCGTCCGTTCAGAGGTTTTTGGATGCGTTTTTAATGAAGCCTGACATGTTAAAAAATTAAAAATTTTAATAACAATAAAACTATAAAATGTAATATTTAATATTGATAAATGAAAGCATATATTATAAAAAAAACACTTAATCGGATTGTAGAAATCCGAAAGAAATAATATGTTTATTAGATTATTTTAAAATGTTTTATTATATATTATTTCTAAATGTTTAATTAGGTAATTTTGTATTAAGTATTACTTCTAAATGTTTAATATGTTTTATTATATTATTTCTAAATGTTTAATTTAATTTATGAAAAATATTAATTTAAAATTGATATTTAAAAGTGATATGAAAAATTTAAAATATTTTTTAGATAGTATTAAGTATTATTAATTCATTAAAATAATTTAAAATAAATATTAAATATTTACAACAAAATTAATTTAATTAATAATTAATTTATATACTTAAAATTATAAAAACAAGATATATTAATGGAGATTGAGAATCCTGGATCAAAGAATCTGGTTAAAAAATTTATATTAAAAATTAATCAAATATTAATGGAGGGCATTACAGGTTTTTTAAAAAATTTTGGAGTAACAGGATGAAACCCTTGGAGGTGGAGGATGAAACATCCTTCATTGGTTAAAGACTGACTCAAAACTTCACTAAACCTCCTTTGGTCAAGGTCTGGTAAGGGTGGAAGCTGAAATGTTGGAAGGGAAAAACTTAAAGCCTTAGCCCCTCAATCATATGAACGAGGCTCAAGGCTTGTGCAATTTGGTCTAGTACGATTAGACCTTGGTTAAAGGAGATTCAGTTAAGTTTTTTATTGGTCTTTTATTGATGGAATGTGTATATAGCAAAAGGTTGGATCAGAGGAATTAGGCCGAAATTGGGGTCAAACTATTATTAAACATCAACTTGGGGTCCGAACTCACATAGTATAACAATACGGTTGGTTGAGAAGAGTCATGTAAGGATTTAAATCCCAAGATTAGTGAGAAAGAAATAACAATGATTGTATGAAGAAAACAAGGTCACGATATCGATATCGAAGATGATTTTGTTTTATTATCG